TGTTAACATACCAAATAATCTCACCCCATCCAAAATAGTGTACAGTTTTACACTTTACAATAAGAATTCCTTTAATGTTTGTTGATATTAATAATGCAGTAATAAAGTACAATATTATATACTAAAATATGTCTCCTAATGATTATTGTGCTTACAAGGTAAACTAGTCTGAAATGTTTAATACACAAACAGATTTGGCTCAGTATTTGGAAAGAAACCGGACAGTTTAGTCTCTTTTTTTACCTTCATTAATGCATAATAAACACTTATTAATAATTTATAAAGTAGATGAATTAATAACCTATCTATAAACTTTTTAAAAGCAATAAGGGGAGCCTTATTGTAAAGTGGTACCGATAACTCATTGCAAAATAATGTCACACTGCTAAGATGAACAGCTGAAGAGATATTTGCAAGTGAAATAACAGGAAGTGACGTCAAAGGGGAATGTCTGAATATAAACTGAGCGTTGCTACAACAGCTAATAACAGACTGCAGAGAAGAATCTGTTTCTGCAGATTATTTTGAGTCACCAGAGATGAAAAAATGTCAGAGTTCAAATAATATCAATAAACAAAGATCRGAGTTTCATTTTCCCTTTGAAGTCACTTCCTGTTTCACTTTGATCAAAGTTCAAAATGTCAAAGATGCTTCAGGGATTTTCAAAGTAAAATGACAGAGTTTGCAACTCTGTTTAGGTGCATTTCTCAGTATGATTTCAGCCAGCCTACTTCATGAGTGTGGAACTGCTCTTTAACGTCTTCCACATCGTCCGACACCTCGTCCTGCATTTGTAGTGCGTCCTCAGCTGACAGCAGCCAAGTCAAGACTTCCTCCAGTGTGGTTTGATAGCTGTCCAGATCCACGTCCAGCACGCCTTCCTCCATCTCCCCTTCRGTTTCCGTCAGGGTGCTGGGGGTCTCGGGTCTTGAGCTGCTGCTTACCTCCTCACGCTGCACATTCTAAAGGGGGAAAATAAACAGTTGTGATTTAAATTATACCATAAACTAGAGGTGTAAATCACCAGCTTTATCACAATACGATATTATAGCGACTTATTTATGGAGATAAATCAGTGACAGCTTTCATTGATATTGAAAAAGAGATTTGGCATTGAAAAATGAAACATTGAAAAGATTTTGGCATTGTAATTTTAAAACGCTAAAAATATTTTCAATGTTTTTTGTCAGCGTTTCTTTTTTCAGTGTTTCATTTTTCAACGCCAAATCTCTTTTTCACTAACCATGTAAGCTGTCACTGATTTAACTCCATACTTATTTAGATGACGATACATTTCTCAATATCACAATATGATTTTATATGCCCACCTAACACAATCATTTAGTAAATCTAGCATTAGACGGGCATATTATGACAATGTCGATTGTTGTTTTCATTTTGCCTTGATGCAGTTAAATTATTAACCATTTAATCGATATATATGGATGTAGTTAAATGTAGTGTTACACCCCTACTATAAATACGCATTTATAATCAGGTTACCCTACATTCTGTCATTATAGGATAAAGTTTACAAAAACAATGTTTCATGTCACAATTTTTTTTTACTTGTCCTTAGAAGAACTCATTGTAGTGTCATTAAAGCAAGTCATCTAAATAGTGATGTGTGCTTAAATAAAAATAAAATTTGTGAATGAATGCCAACTACCGCATGACTGTTTACCTACAAAAACAACCGAAGGGGCTGAAAAAAGGCTGAAGATGGTGAAGTTCGTGAAACGGCCATTTTTGATTGAGATATTCAACCATTTGAAATCAGTGGTTTGTGTTTACATTTTGTAGTAATTTACATTTTACATGTTGTTTACATTGAGTGCGTACCTGCATTTCAGATCTCTCTCTCTCTCTCTCATATATATAT